TCTTCTTTTCGAGGACAATCTTTCAATCTTTTAAGACACTGATTTGCTCGTTTCCGTTAAGGATTTCCTCTTGTCCATTTAGGATATGTTTAAGATATGATCGGAATAATTTAATAGCATGGGTTATTGTGTTCTTTGGGGCATCTGAAGTAGATACAGACATGTTCTTTATGACGATGCACTGACTGCAATCAACTAATGGATATGCTGCTTGTTTTGTACCTAGAGATTACTTTATGCCAATTGGTGTTGTCATCACGCTTTGATACAGAGACAACTGCCACTGCAGAACTACCGCACGTTTCCTCGTTTACGAAGGTTTCTCGCTTAGAGGACACCTCCGTCGGCAACGCGGCAATTGTTGGAATTATGTGCTGACCTAACCGCCTCGTACTGGGACACGGACCTACTGTGCGCGCGAACTTTGTGTATTGAGTACATAGTAGCAAACTTCCAATCAGAGAAGAGACTGCGTCGATTAAACGAATACTGGAAGATCTGCGCAAGCAGTTCGGGGAGTTAGCAAGTAAATTCCTTCAGCACTTTTGCTGATAATTGGTCCGCACCTGTAGACTTGCATTCCTTGAACGCAAGTATTTTATCACTAAATCTTTTCCTCTAAAATTGATAATTTCCATGACTGCGTCATTAGGCTCAGTAAGGACTCCAAGCTCGTTAAAATCGGTTTCGTCAGTGAAACTTCTACTGCGACCTTTGTTTCCTCCTTCCAACGCTTTCGGGTTTTTGGATGACATTGTAGTGGCTAGGCCTACAAAACGTATAAAAAATTATTAGAAACGCATCGAAAATCTTCCAAGTGTAGAGCTAACTTGCAGTAACTATGCTACCGCACTACTCTAGTGGAAAAGGTGGAAAAACTGCATAAAAATGACAATAAAAAGGATAGCGATACCACTCATTAGATCCCCAACGATCCTTGATAGCAGTAGTTGGGAAATTGACTTGCCAAAGGATGGATTAGTAAACGTTCGGATCTTCGTTCGTCAATCTGAGGTCGGGAGAGTCGCAAGAAAACTCGCGTTCAAATGGACGCTGCCGCTGTTGCTGACTGGAAGCGGCAGGTGGAGTGAAGGGTAAAAGTGCCGTGGGAGTGGACGAGACATGGGGTCGTGACGTGCATTCAACGTAGGCCGGCTTCCGTCTATCGATTGAGACCGAATCAGTATCATCAGCCTGCGGCGAAACCAAAAGTTTGTATAACTTAAACCAAAACTTACAAGATACAAAGGGAGGCGATGGGCCTACAAAATTAAAGTAAGGACTGAAGTTAGCTGCGCCGACCACGCAAAAAAGGTTACAATTTATTATAGACAAATAGATTGCCTGGTCGGCCATATGGCTTTTTTCGTTTCATGAATCCAAATGTGTGGCCCTACACATTACGTCAGAAAAGCATGTATTTTATTAATGGCACTGCAAGAGTTGGAAACATACAAAGAACTGTGCATGTAAACAACTGCGAACTTGACGTCATCAGAGCACTGGAAGAAAGCGGTCCAGAAGGCAAATATTTTGTTGTAATGGATCAGACACGCGTTTAAAATATTCCGATGTCATTACTTCAGAATAATATTCGTGAAGCTACATTTAAATTACGGAAAGTCGGTGTGGACACCGTAGAAAAAAAGATATTGTCCTCCTCGGACGAGTACAACGGAGAGCGACGAATATGGTCGACGTTCTTAAGAATTTACCGTATCAGGACAGATTTAAAAAGCTTGACATATAGGGAGAGGGGGGGAGGGAGAGAGGAGGTTCGGAAAATGCCGGTAGCTAGGTGGCCGTTGGCCAACGGCCACCTAGCTACTTGACATATTTCCCACGTCTTACTGACACTTACAGTGTTGACCACTCTCGGTATTCTGGAATATCCGGGGCCATGCTTCCTCTCTGAGACCGGAGTATTTCTTCGAGTTTG